TCACCGGTCAACGGGTTGGGCCAGTTCGTTAACGGGCCGATTCGGGTCGGTTCCGGGCCCAAAACCGGCCCGTGGCCGTGTCTACCTCCACCCACCGCAGGTGACATAATCAAGTGATACCTGTTGGATAAAGAAGAATATTAAACAAATATTAATTATCTAATATAAATAATTAATCTAATACTTTAACAATTTTTTTTCAAAATGTCATCTTAGATAGAGAACTAATAATAATATTGTCCAGAATGTCATCGTAGATAGAGAACCAAATAAGTGATACTATTTTAATTTTACTAAATAAATATTAATTATTTAATATAATAACCGATTACTACTGGAAAAAGAGGAATATTAAACAAATATTAATTATCTAATAAATAATTTAATTATATTGTAAAGGAATACTATTTAAATTTTATTAAATAAATATTAATTATCTACTATAAATTAATTATCTAATATAGATAATTTAACTAATATTTTAACAATACCAGTCAAGAACCAACACAAACCCATCATCAAAGACTCCAGAACGAGAGAACTAAGGGATTATACTTTAATTCTACTAAAATAAATATTAATTATCTAATATAAATATGTGATACTTGTTGGAAAAAGATGAATATTTAACAAATATTAATTATCTAATATTTTATAATCTAATACAAATAATTATAAATATTAATTATCTAATAAATAATTAATTTAACAATATTTACCTTCTCGCGGCAACTACGTACTCGGCGTTGTTAAAAAATGTATTGCCACTAGTATATGGCGCTCGATCTAGAGCAACTATCCGCTGGTGCTCCAACAATATTTGATCGTCGTTTAGGACGCCAAATATCTCTTCAACGGCCGGCAGCCGCACTGAGATACCGAGAATATGGTTTTCATAAATGATTCCCAGTAGAGCAGGAACTAGTGATTGTGGTTGTTGATTCATGTTGAAAGGTGGAAGGAGTGAAGTCGGCGTGAATCGGAGGCGGCGTACAGAGGCGGCGTGGGAAGACGGCGTGGAAACTAGCATGGGAGAATGAGCAGGTGAAAAACGGAGCAGTGCAGCGGGGTTTGTGAGAAATGATAATAGGAACATCGGCGTACAGAGGGAGCGTGGGAAGAAGGCGTGGAAACTAGCAGGGGAGAATGAGCAGGTGAAAAACGGAGCAGTGCAGCGGCGTTTGTGAGAAATGATAATAGGAACAGCGGCGTGGGAAGATGGCGTGGAAACTAGCAGAGGAGAATGAGCAGGTGAAAAACGGAGCAGTGCAGCGGCGTTTGTGAGAAATGATAATAGGAATAGCGGCGTACAGAGGCGGCGTGGGAAGACGGCGTGGAAACTAGTAGGGGAGAATAAGCAGGTGAAAAATAGAGCAGTGCAACGGCGTTTGTGAGAAATGATAATAGGAACAACGGCGTACTGAGGCGTCGTGGGAAGACGGCGTGGAAACTAGCAGGGGAGAATGAGCATGTGGAAAAAGGAGCAGTGCAGCGACGTTTGTGAGAAATGATAACAGGAACAGCGGCGCGGAAAGACGGCGTGGAAACTAGCAGGGGAGAATGAGCAGGTGAAAAAGGAGCAGTGCAGCGGCATTTGTGAGAAATGATAATAGGAACAGCGACTACAGAGGCGGCGTGGAAACTAGCATGGGAGAATGAGCAGGTGAAAAAGGAGCAATGCAGCGGCGTTTGTGAGAAATTATAATAGGAACAGCGGCTACAGAGGCGGTGTGGGAAGACGGCGTGGAAACTAGCATGGGAGAATGAGCAGGTGAAAAAGGAGCAGTGCAGCGGCGTTTGTGAGAAATGATAATAGGAACAGCGGCGTGCAGAGGCGGAAAAACGGCGTGGAAACTAGCAGGGGAGAATGAGCATGTGAAAAACGGAGTAATGTAGCAGCGTTTGTGAGAAATGATAATAGGAACAACGGCGTAATGACGCGGCGTGAGAAGACGGCGTAGAAACTAGCAGTGGAGAATGAGCAGGTGAAAAATGAGCAGTGCAGCGGCGTTTGCGAGAAATTATAATAGGAACAGCGGCGTTTGTGTTTGTGTTTAAGTTTATGTTTGTGTTTGTGAGAAATGAGAATAGGGCTAGGATTTAGGCAAATATCAATTCATCTTCAAAACTATTTAGGTCCGGCCCAAAACCTCCAAACTATACGGACCTCTTCGGCCCACCATATTATATATTTTAGGTGCAATTTTTAGTAAAAAATACAGGTAAACAAATGAATAAAAAAAGTGAGCAAATTTGGAACGAATCCCCTATTTAAATAAGAAAAACGGATTCCACTCATTTATTGACACATGGACATTTTAATAAAAAAAAATGTTTGATTATGTTTCCCTAATTTGTAGCTATTTTAAGTTTAAAATTTCTGAACTACTCTAGTTAAGAATTTTAAGTGCATGTAACTTCTATATATATAGATAGGCACACCAACTTTTGTCCTATTCGTTCTTTTTTCTTTATTTTTTTTAAATAAGGAATTATGTTTTCTTGTACATAAAATCATTTGGAACATGGTTTTTTTTGTGTGTCTTATTATTTTAATAAAACCCAATAAATATCAAATACGAGAATAATTGTAATAAGAAAGAATAAACACGCCCAAAACCGACTCTTTCGACCCTACACCCGATGATAAATACTGGGTGTGTCTTCTGCTGTCACGAGTCGTTTTTTGTATTTTTCTAAAACCCCTATAGGTTAACCCAAATGGGGGAATATATTATAAAATACAAAAAAATTCACATGGCAGTAGAAGATCCATCCAGTGTTTATCACCGGTGTAGGGTCGAAGAAATCCCCAAAACCCACAATTTAAATACATGTTAAATTATTTAATATTCTTTCAAAATTTTATTTTATTTTATTCATATTTAAATTTGATCGATATTTTAGACTATATGTAACAAAGAAAACAAAAATAAAACAATTAACCAAAGTAATTTACCGTAAAAAGATAAGAGTTTGTTATTTTCTAAATAATAAAAATAAATTAATTAAGGGTAAGATTAAGGGTTAAATTAAATTTTACAGCTAATTAAATCTCCACGTGTCATGAGCTGAATGGAATCCGCTTATCTCCAAAAAGCAGCGGATCCGTTCAGAATTTATTCCCATAAAAAAATATATAAACAAAGTTAAAAATGGCGTGTTCAAAATCAACATGTAAAAATTTAACTTATTGCAATATAATAACTAATAAGTATCTTTTGTAGAAATAAAATTGAACACACATATGTCTATATACTGATAAAAAATCGACTTGATATTTTTTGTGGCGTTACAATTCTAACAATAAACGTCGATCCAACAAAAAGAAATTGGTATGTGTATGAAGATGATATTTTGGATCAATGCAAATATCACATTAAGCAACGAATGAATTTAAAAAATAATGGATGTTGCAAAGAAAAAATTATATGTAAAACTTTTTTTTTGTGGACGGAATAGTATAAAACGTAAATGAAATAGTTATGTGAAAAGTAATTCATCAAATTTGAAATATTTTTGGACAATGCAACACAACTAAAGAATCAATTGCACATACTTTATTAAAAAAATATGTTTACGGTAGATATATCCAACGTCTTAACTTTAATAATTAAGTTTTCTTAATCCATTCATAAAACAAAAATTAAATTTGCACACTACGCTCCTTTACATTTCTAAGTTATTGTCTTGAAATAGTTAGTGAAAATTCATAAGCAAAAGAAGTATGTACAATTCAATCGTTCTTTCGAATGATAACCTAAAAACTTAACTTAAGATAACTCAGACAAATTAACTTTCTTAAATTATAAAATCAACCTCTCTTAAATCGTCAATCCAATAATATTTAGACACAACAATCATTTGTATGTCTAAAAGATAAAAATATAGTTTAGCCATTAATCAGTTAGAGGCATCGCAATAAACTTAAAATAAATTTCATAAGTAATATGAATAAAATTTGATAAGTAAAACTCGTAACTAAGGACAAAATAATAAAAAGGAAATGAAATAGTAATTTTTAAAAATATTTCTTCTAATTTAAATGTTTTTGGGTAATGCAACACAACTAATTTAAATTTAAATAATTAGAAGAAATATTAAATAATTTTAAATTTGAATACAACTCTTCTTTAAGAGGGTGTTTGGCTAAACTTATTTTAAAGAGCTGATAAGCTCTTACGTCTGATAAGATGTTTTAACAGCTGATAAGCTGTTACATCTTATTTTTATGATTACTTTTAGAGTGTTTGGATAATTAGCCTATTTCCTATTTATATTCAATATAAGATTTTAAATAAAAAGGTGGGGGAGATCAGGTACTTTTTTAAAAATATCTTATTTGCTATCCAACAACTTATTTAATTTTTTTTTCTTTAATTTTACCAAACACTTTGGAAAATTTTATAAGCTCTAAAACATCTTATAAGCTTAGCCAAACACAATCTAAATCATTGTCTTAAACTAATTAGTGTAAAATCATAAGAAAAAAATCATTACAAATCTCCTATTTACACAAAATTAGTAAACCTGCTAAGTAAATAATATCTCAACGATAAACAATCTAAATAAACATAGAAAAAATAACTAAAAAATATTAATACATATATCCTGGAAAAAAAAACTGCCTTACTATTATTTGTGGCATTACATTCGCAAGTGCTTATACACATTTGTAGTTGCAAAATACATTCAAACTCCGAAAATCAGTTGTTGCGCGTTGACTTTTTTGATAACAAAAGTAAAGAGAAAACAATGCTACAGATTACGCTGCAAACAACAGAAAAATAAAAATAAAAAAACGGATTTTAACGAACCTAGGGCTACACGTCAAGGGGTGGCGTCAGTTTGATTTATTACATTTGTTTTCCTTTCTTCAACCTGCAGAAAAGAAAAGAACACAATTGATTTAGTTTTCTTCTCAAACGGTTTACAGAACGTGGAAAACAAAAATAATATTACCTTGCAAAGTAAACGGACAAAATTACCCATAGGGAATTAGGGTTTCCCTTTCTTTTATATATAACGCTAACCCTAACCAGCCGCCTTCTACATTTTCACTTCCGACAACAATGGCGGCAGGTCTTCAAATCGATCCGATGGCTTCTTCTTGTGCTTATATTGGACGAATTGGATGTGTTTATTTTGGACGACTTGGATGTCTCGTCTACGGTTTGGCTTTGGGCACGACCGATGAGTCCCTTGGACGTGCCTTTTCTCAATTTGGAGAAATCAACAGTGTCATGGTCTGTTTGTCTAAATTGCTTTTTAGTTTTTATTTATTTTTTATTGTTTATTGTTTATTGTTTATTGTGGTGGTTTCAGATTGCGATCGATCCTCGTACTGGAGAGAATATTGGTGTCGTGTTGTTTGAGGATGATAGATATGTGAGAGAAGCTGTTGTGGGGATGAACGGGAAGAAGATTGGCGGTCACCGTATCACCGTTAAAGAGTCTCGGTTTCCTGGCTTTCCCCGCTGCGGTGACGGTCTTCAAATCGATCCGATGGCTTCTTCTTCTTCTTTTTTTGGACGACTTGGATGTCTCGTCCATGGTTTGGCGTTGGGCACCACCGATGAATCCCTCCGACGCGCCTTTTCTAAGTTTGGAGAAATCGTCAGTTTGACGGTCTGTTTATGTTTATCTGTCTAAGATGCCGCTGGTCTATTGCTTTTTATGTTTTTTTATTATTGATTTTTGTGGTGGTGTTGTTGATTTTTTCAGATTGCGATCAATTCTCGTACCGGAGAGAATATTGGTGCCGTCGTGTTTGACAATGAGACATCGGCGAGAGAAGCTATTGAGGAGATGAACGGGAAGAAGATTGGCCGTCGCCTTATCACTGTTAAAGGGTCTCGGTTTCCTAGCTTTCCCTTCAGCGGGGACGGTCTTCAAATCGATCCCATGGCTTCTTCTTCTGCTTATTTAGGACGACTTGGATGTCTCGTCTATGGTTTGGCGTTGGGCACAACCGATGAGTCCCTTCGACGTGCCTTTTCTAAGTTTGGAGAAATCGTCAGTTTGACGGTCTGTTTGTCTATCTAAGATGTCGCTGGTCAATTGCTTTGTTAGTTTTTTATTGATTTTTGTGGTGGTGGTGTTGATTTTTTCAGATTGTGATCAATCCTCGTACCGGAGAGAATACTGGTGCCGTCGTGTTTGACAATGAGACATCGGCAAGAGAAGCTATCGAGGAGATGAACGGGAAGAAGATTGGCCGTCACCCTATCACCGTTAAAGGGTCTCGGTTTCCTGACTTTCCCTCGGTTTCCTGGCTTTCCCTGCAGCAGTGACGGTCTTCAAAGAAATCCCATGGCTTCTTCTGCTGATTCTGGACCACCGCCTATTCTCAATTCGGAGAAATCATCAATGTGATGGTCTGTTTGTCTAAGATATCGGTAAAATTGCTTTTTTTAGTTTATTTTAGGGTAAAAATATGTGTGTTGTTGATTTTTCAGATTGGGATCGATCGGTTTACTAGAAAAGGTATGCCGTTTTTATTTACCTATCTTGGAACTTTGTCAGAGAACTTGAATGCTAAAATTTCAGTATATTATCTATTTCTTAATGCCATGGTTTTCTTTGAATATTTGATTGCTTTCTTACGAATTTACATACGTGTTTATCTCGATGTTTAAGTAGATTTTTCTGACATTCAGGACTATTTTGGTTCAAGTGATGGGATAGGATGGGATCCCAAATCCATTTTCAAATTACACTGTAGTAGTGATAGCTGCAAAAAAGTGGGATCGAAGCCGAAGCCTGGTTGTATCCATCTTGTGATAGGTTTCTCGGATTGATTGTTTTGTTGTAGTAATTGACAATATTACCCCTGCTTAACTTATTTTTGTACGAACACAGCCGAAAGAGAAAAGAATCTGCTTAAAATTTGGAATGATATTAAGCAGATTCTTTTTTCTCTTTCGTCTGTGTTCGTACAAAAATAAGGAAAACGGTTTTTTTTTTTTTTTTTTGCTGCTAATACTTAAAAAAAAAACGAGTAGCTTACAACAGTTCAACATATCTCAGACTCCTCAAGTAGCTACAATTATATACTATTTTCATATTTTTCACTCAATTCAAAACACAAAAAAGTGAAAGTGTATTGATAAAAAGATTTATACCAATAAAATATAACATGTCAAAATGATTTAAACATAAATTTTCTTAGCAAGACAATTTTTTCCACAGTGTTATTCCCTTGCATTCTTCTTAGAAAAGGCACGAAAATCCCTCGTCATGAGATGCCTAAACTGATTATCGTTTGGTCTGTAAATTACGAAAGTCGATCCTAAAGTCAACAAGATTTCACCTACCCTTTAGTCCCAATGCACACTGGTGTAATGTATGGAAGATAAACATAAGGAACAATCAGTATTTTAGCCCAAAGTTCACTCTGAAACAAGTACAAAATGAATGCCACCTTCCAAAGAATTCCTCGACCATAATTGTACACGCGCATTCGCCGGAGTAGTAGACGGCGTCGTTAAGGCCTCTTCCAGACCCTTTTGAGTACAACACATGTTTAATCAGCTTCAGATACTTGGGAGCGGATTCTAGCGGCGGCGAAGAATTTTCGGATGATGTTTCGGATCAATAGGTGACTTCTCAAATTGATCATGGATCCCACCAAGTACGGGGACCCGAGGACCCGTCGGATCAACCCGGATTTTCTGGTTTTTTTTGTCCAAAAACTTGCACATGTGGGGGTTCAATTACTGGGAAGAATGAGCAACTCTTACCATTTGGGCGAACCAACATAATTGATTAAAAGTTGACAATAAATATATATAATATAAAACACGGGTGTAAAAAATGATAAATATGTTAAATAAATTATTAATTTTCATATTAATTATCATTAAATTAATTTTAAATAAATTATTAACAAATGCAATATAAAAATATATATAGAATCACAATTCAATACTTCAAAACATGTATTATTAATTACTATATTAATATAATCTCTACTATTGAAAAATATAAACTATTGAATCAATTCAATATATAAACAAACACGTTGACTTAATACAAACTCACTATGTTTTTAAAATCGATAGTGTGAAAAATCAAATGAAAAATAAAATAAGATGTTTATCTAAAAAAAATAGATTATAACTCATTTCAATTAATTTAAATCGATTAACCTCAACTGTTGACAAGAACTTATTAAAATTATTGATTATTTTCTCATAAGATAATCTATATACTATATAAAATTAAAGTTGAATTTCACACCTAATTGATTGACATTTGTCAATTTTCAAATGATGACATGTCCTTAAATTCATCCCATGTGTCCATTTGATTAGTAAAGAAAATTAATCAAAAAACACGTCATCGTTTATATAATTATACATGTCATTAACTATAATTATTAACTTTATATATACTATTAATTTGTGTATATAGAAATTACCAATCAAAACATCCATATCACATTTAACAAATCAACACCAATTTTAATTTCACACGTATCATATAAAATCAAGCGTATGATATATATATATATATATATATATATATATATATATATATATATATATATATATATATATATATATATATATATATATATATATACACACACACACATACACACTAGGTAACGGCTGATTTCGATCGTCTCAACCACACTTTCCTTCTTTGGCCGCAAAAGGTAAATTGATTCAGGAATTCTTTATCTGGTTGAAAATGAGATTGGAGAATAGATAGTGAGAATCGTGAGAGAGATGAGGGAGAACAGTAATACGCTAATTACTATATTATTTTTTGGGCGGAAAAATAAAATGTATTTAATCCATATGAGATGAAAGGTACTCTACGATGAAATAGGTGGGTGATGGTCAGAACACATAATTGAATATTTGTTTTTATATGCTGATTGATTATTGCTAATTTTGTAATTGAATTTATATCTTGGATTTAATCTTTATCATTCTGTCAAGGTTGAGGCAAAAGAGAATATTAAAAAACCATTGAAGATGTTCCTAATTTTATTAGCAGAGTGAGAGACTAAAGATCTGTTGGATGTGTAAATTATACTTTGTGTGCGCATTGAGTGAATGTGGGTGGATGCGTGGCTGTATAGTGGTGAATGTGGGCAATGTAGTTGTTTTTTTTTCTATTTACGTAATTCTTGTAATTGTTTTTTTTATTGAATTATGTTAATATCTTAGTGGATTTCGATATTTTTGTAGTGGGTAGCGATGCGATAGTAGTGGATTTCAAATTCCTGCTTTGGAGATCAATTTTTTTTTTGTCCTTAGCAGGCGGACGTCGCCGTTTGTTAGCACCCCATGACGACGGAGGCCTTGCATCAGAAATAATTGCGGCGGTCGGAGGAGGAATCGTGGTAGGTGATGGCATGGATGACGGGCTGCTTGATTTCGGGGTTGTGAAGGCCGTGCGGCGGGAGAGATCGGCATGTAAGATGTTGATTCTCTTGGCCTATAGTATAATTTTTTGTAATTTTGATCTCCTTATTTTCTCCCCGACATTAAAGGCTATTGAAAATGGAACACAGTAAAGTTACTGTTTGCTTCCATAATTCTAATAATATCATCAAACTCAAATTGGTTCTTTTTGCCCACTAAAAAAATGTTCGATTCTTTTGATATCACTTCATAAGTTATGATTTCCTTAATCTTCAACTCTTGATTATCTTTCCTTAACTGTTTTTTATTTTCTATAATGGATTTTGGAGTATGATTGTTCACATATGCTTGCCACAGAGTGGTTTTCAAATATTTTTTGCTGAAAATGTGGAGTGGTTTTCAATAATTATTTACATATTTTTTTTAGTGGTTTTCAATAATTATGTATAGATTTTTATAGTGGTTTTCAATATTTTACATAAACCACTATAAAATTTGTACAAAGATTATAGTGGTTTTCAATAATTATTGTACATATTTTTATATATCTGTATATACAGAGTGGTTTTTATGTTGATATAGTTGTTACACAGAGTGGTTTTCAAGTTTACATAGTTGGTATACAGAGTGGTTTTCATGTTATATAGTGGTTATACAGAGTGGTATTCATGTTTATATAGTTGTTTATACATAGTGGTTTTCATGTTTATATAGAGTGGTTTTTATTTTAAAAAACTCGAAAGAAAAAAAAAACCATTTTAAAAAAAATTCGAAATTAAGAAAAAAAGAAAACCATGAAAAAATGAAAATAAAAATAAAACCATTTTTTTAAATTAAAATAAAAAACATGAAAAATATAAATAAGAAAAAAAAATTAAAATAAAAAACCGAAAATAAAATAAAAATAAAAATAAAATAATTACAAAATTTTCTTTTAAATCGAAATAAAGAAAACTATTAAACAAAGAAAAAAAAGAAAAACAAAACTGAATTGGCGTGATGAGGGGAATAATTTTTAGAGAAGATTTGGGTGTAGATTATGGGTATACTTTTCTTTAAATTAAATAATTATACTAATTAATAATTAGTAGGGGCATATATGGTTTTTCAGGCCCATTGGATTTATCTCAAATATCATTTATGAATTTATGAATAAATGATTTATTAAGAATTAAAATCCCAATGAAGGGTGTTTGGCATGTAGCCCCTATCAAGCAGACACGACGTGATATATATATATATATATATATATATATATATATATATATATATATATATATATAATTATATTATTTATAATTTATAAATATACCCCTATATTTACGCATATCCACCCCGATGTCCGTATTCTACTTTTTTCAAAATGTCGTATCGCGGTGTCTGTATCCGTGTATCACGGTGTCGGTTGATATGTATTCATATCGACCTAACTTAAATGGATCTATTGATGGTTGATTATCCGTCACAAATTATGGGTTGGTTGGTTAAAACCGATCCATGAACAACCCTATCAGAATCAATTTATTTGCACTGCATATTGCATATTTTCATATAATTCATGACATTTTTTTTGTTATTTTAGCATATATACTGTTTTGCAGAGGGTATTGAATTTTTTTCCCCATTGTATCTCCATATACTTCTCTGAAATATCCCTATGGTATTTCAGTTATTGACTTCAAATTCAGTTTATTTGACCTGCAAATTGTATTCCAATTTATTCCAAAACAATTGCAGATATTGATTCTTCATAATGTTCGAATTTGTCAGCTTTAATCTTCTCTTACGTTAACAACAACATCAATTTTGTCACCTTAGTCATGCTCGGTGAACCTGAGTACATATCAACAAATGCAACACAAGTGTCAGCATCCCTAAAGTGAGATATAAAGAGCAAAAAATGCCCTGCAGAGAATGACATCAACACCAACATCAACTGCAGCCCTTGAAACAAATTTAGGCACTATTTAAATCAAAAGCTCTACAATTCCTTCTATAAATGAACTATTATGCAATTAGCACTACCCAAAATTATTGCAGACACTACAATTAACAAGACATAAGCCTCGAAAGCAAAATAGAAAAATTCTTGAAAAAGTAAACTCGAAAGAAATTCTTTTTAATCATTTCCCTAAAAAAGCTACGTGAAATGTTTTCACACTTACTACATAAACCTTAACCGAACGGGAAGTGGATAAAAGAGAAAATTGAGAGTTACGTTGGTGGAAATGAATAATATGGACGGACATCCTAACATGTATTAACTAACCTGGAAATACCAACATATATTGGGGAGAAGATGTTAAAGCTTGTTGTCTAAGCCGAGTTGCAAGTTAACCGATTGCGCAAGTCCTCGTTCACCAGTCAACAAATCGTCTAAAACAACTCCCTTTCAACACTTTGGCAACACACAAAAGTGG